ATTTTCTGTGACTGGTGACTGGTATTAATCGCTGGTATGTCAACACTCTCATGTACTGCCTCACTGTCAAAATATCCTATAATTAGAATTTCCTCAAATGTCGATTCTGGTTCATGTGCATAATCAGGGGCAGCAGAAATTATAGAAGTACAAGCAGTTGATGTTAAAGGTAACCCGCCAGTTATAGCCACAAGAGGAGTACCTATTACAGCTTATTTTCTCCACACAGTCTAACCTCTTTCTTCCTGTTCCGTCATATCTATCTTTTTCCCAAATCCACCATCAGTTGCCATTCTACATTTTACAATTTTTCTGTACTTAGCTCCTGTCGAGTTTGTCCAATCCTTAAATCTTTGTAAAAAAATAAATGCAAATTAATATTGTTACACAGAATCCATAGACCTTTGTCCTGCCATTGCATACATCACATTTTTACACCAATCCGGTACATCCCGTCGGCAATTGACCCAATAAAATCTTTCCAGAACTCGTGCCAGTGTCCTTTTAATATCAAAATGTCCTCCTAAACGGCTGTTATGAAGCTCCTCCAATACTTTTCTTACCTGTGACCTCAACAGTATCACTTGGCGGACTGCATGTACTCCATCGGGACTCTCCCACTTTCGGTGCAATAGGCCATCGTAAAGATACAGGGAATCCCACTGGTTCCAGTAGCCTTTTATAGTTCTACTGTATTTGGTTATCTCTTGCCAAGTAGGTGTGACTTTATTTTTAAGCCATTCTCGGACAACCTTAAGTCCTTGTCTTTTTTCTGTCCCTTTCTCAGACTTTCAAGGGTGATTTCTTCTTCATCGCCCTCTGGCTTGATAGTGGTGGCCCAAAGAGTAACTTTATCAACCGGTTCTTCTCGTTCTTCGAGCCTTTTACCATACTAGCATTGTTCCTCTAAACGGGGTTTCCCGAAGAGAATGCTCGGTGTGGGTGATTGGCTTCTTCGGGACGCATAGCTGCTATAATTAATTCTTGTTGGTCTTAGTGATAGGCTTGGAAAGATTGATCTATATGATTTTCCGGTCTTATTCGCTGATTCTCGATTTATAGAATGGGCCATGCTTCTCCAGGTTCTTACAAGGTGTCCGACTCTTCCGCAATTAAAGCATCTCCTGATTCCATTTTAGCTGTTTCGTAGGATATTTAAGAGTCACTTTCCTGGGATTTAATTTCCCTCACTTTTACGCGAGAAGATCTGGATAGGAGTTTTACCGCTTCATATTCCTGGGATGCAATCAGTTTCTCCCTCAGCGTCTTGTGATGTTGTAGACGAAGGACTTGCTGCTTTTCCACATCTTGTATTCCATGAATGAATGTTTGTATTCCGAGTTGTTCTTGGAAATCTTTCGGCACCTGTGGATAGGCCAGATGAATCAACCTTTTTATATCAGCCTCGAATTCCTGTAGACTCTCATTATGTTTCTGACTACGAACCTTAAGCTGGCTTTGGAATACCCGTTGCAAATGCTGTTGGCTATATCTTGTCTCCAAAGCTTGGACGAGAGATGAATAACTGGGTTCTTTTTGGGGAAGTAATTGTAAAATGTGGCTCGGTTCGGTTATGGATACAGACGAGGTAGTGTTATCAGCTTCAATGTTGCTTACCGAAACTTGGCTATGAATTCTTCTTTCTAACTCTACCATTTCAGCTCTAATTTGCCTTTCTAACTCTACTCTTGTCTTTTCCTGTTGTTGTTTAAAATTGATTTTTAAATGCTGTTGCTGCTGTTCTAAATGAGTTAGATGATCTTATTGTTGCTCCAAATTAGTTTTTAGATTCTTTTGCTTCTGTTCTAAATTGGCTTTTAGATTATCTTGATGTTGAGTTAAGAGGTCTATTTAGCTGACCTACCCCTAGATTAAAGTTTTCCTGATTTTGCAGCAAACCATTCATAATTTCTACCTCAGCTTTCCTACGCCTTTATTTTCCTCCTCCTCTTCCTTCTTACGCCTTACCTTTTCCTCCTTTCTACGCCTTTCCTTATTCTCGCCTCGTCTTTCCTTTTTCTCGCCTCGTCTTTCCTTTTCCTCCTCTTCTTCCTTCCTACGCCTTTCCATTTCCTCCTCTTCTTCCTTCCTACGCCTTTCCTTTTCCTCCTCTTCTTCCTTCCTACGCCTTTCCTTTTCCTCTTCTCGCCTTTTCTTTTCCTCTTTTCGCCTTTACTTTTCCTTCTCTCGCCTCTTTCTCCCCTTTTCCATCTTCAAAAATCATGCGGTGGACCTGAAGTATCCATATCTGCTTCGTTCGCCGTGGATCTTGTATTTACCATGAATTAAATTCTTGAGTAACTTTTATTTTATATCCCACCGCTGTCACTAATGTTACACAGGTATTTGGTATCGCAATTTATTTCAACTCAACTTTAACAACAATTATACAACTGATAACATTAACGATTAACGTCTATCATAAAACTGAAAAATGACGTCAGGATCATCCTTATATAGCTTGCTTGACCCTTCTCGAACCTTCGCGAACTGTCATCTAGAATATTCTTGACGGGTAATGACATTTGTGGACTATTCTATCTTCTTTTACTTGTACTTTTACTTATGACGACCCCAGCACACTGTAGGGCGATGAGTAACATTCCACTTCATTTTCTATCTGTACGTTTCCTATAATAGCCGCAGGCTACTGCAGGGTGCTGCGTAACAATATCATGGATTTCAAATAGTTACTCGATTTTAGTATAAAATATTTTATAAAACTAACCTTTTGCCATGCTTCCTTTATCAATACAGGCCCCTTTCCTAAAGAATTTAAATCCATGGTAAGTTTTCCCACTTATTCTCAATGTATTTTGGTTAGACTGTTGGATTTATAACCCCCTCTTCTAAATATATAGTCGCCTTCCATGTGCTCCAAATATATATCGCATTGTTCTACTGATGTATTTTCAGTTCTCTTTCTCTTTGAAACACTAAAATAATAATGAATAAATAAAAGTATGAACAAAGAGTAGCAATTTAGATAAATTACCTGCGTTCGGCCATAATAGTAAACAAAATACCAGAGTTGTGTAGTATCCGGATACTTCTGTATCCGGATACTGTATCCGAATAATTTATGTGTATCCGAAAGCTGTATCCGGGTACTTTTTAAATTTTGTATCCGGTATCCGTATCCGTGATCAAATTTGTAAGTATCCGGATACCGGATACTTTTTTCGGCATTCGGATACTTTAAATTATTTACCACAATCGTAACTGATTCAATCCATATTCTCTCTATTAAAATATATAATCGAAATACTTTGAGCTACCCTGTATAATTAGAAATAAAATACGTATTTTTTAATATTACAATATAAAAGACACAATTGCAATAGGTACCTACTTAAATAAAAAATGGTAAAATAACTATTTTATTATGATTTGTAGTTTTGTTTGGTACACCCTGTAAAATTTCGCATAAAATGTGTAAGTAAACAAAATACATTTATATCGCTTGAGAAATAAAAATCAAGTAAACAATAGGAGAATAGATTCCTCCTAATAGAAAAAGAGTAGAAATTTGGAATTTAAAGATAGCTAAGGTAATTTCAGTATCTATTTTGTTAAAAAACCAGTTTTTTAAAAATGGTATAATTAAAAAAAAATATCACGGAAAATCAGCTTAGATAAAAAAAAAATTAAAAGTAAAATGATATAATAATAGCTGAATGATTGTATGTGTTATAATGTACTCATATATGTATGACGCTGTTGCTCATAATGTTACTGATCATGTGTTATTTATGTCATCATCAACATCAATAAGGTACATAGATCTGACAAGATCAAATATACGAGCCTGCTTTGCCTATGCCAGAACGAAACATTTTGCAATCTCTCAGTCCTTCTCCTTTCGACGCTCTCGACTCTACCAAGTACCGCTCTTTAGAGGATCCACAAAAAATGGTTGTTGAATACATCTGACTCTGACGAGAAAATCGAAAATCTCTTGTTTATTGTTACTCGTAATCAATCCTATTGCATAATTATAACTATTGGTAAGAAAACATTATTTTAACTCACTTTAAAAGTGTTCGTAAAAGTATCCTTTAAAGTATCCGAAAAAAGTATCCGGATACTTGTATCCGAGTACTTTTTAGGTGAAAGTATCCTAAAGAGTATCCGGATACATTGTAAGTGTCCGTATCCGGTACTAGGATGATTTTTTCCTGTATCTAACCTAACTCTGCAAAATACTGAATATAATTCTTGCAAAAAACACTATTTTAATTAAAATTCACTTATTTTCTCTACACAGTCTCTAAACTCTAATATTTCTCCACGTTGTTTCTGCTTCCTACTAATAACTTATAGGCTATAAATTTGCGGTATTTTTCAACGGAACATCGACATTTATTTCCCATGAAATTAGCTTTACTGAATTTCAAGATGTACCTGGCCTCCTTACAGCAAGCTGTACAGAATCGCAATTTCGTGATGATCTGTAAGCAACGCAATTACATCGCTATGTAGACTACATCGTTGTAAGTTTTAAGGTACTGTAGAGCTGAGTTATAGAATAGCGTAATTAATCGCGAAAATAGTCAAAACAGATTCAGGGGACCATAAAACGTAAAAATTCATCAAAAAATCGATGTCTAAAAAAATTATGATTCATATACTTTCCTTATCTGTATACAGACAGAAAAGTAAAAAAGTGAAAAAAAAATTTACTATAAACTATTAAAAAAACTAAAACTTATCCTTAGACATTATCCCGCCCGTGTAGACGACATCTTATACACAATAATATTAATACAACTTAAATAGAATGATAGAAGCAGATATAATGAAAAAATACCTCAAGCCATTAACCACAGTGATTCAGTTTTATATTTTTTTGTGTCACAATATGTACAATCGCCACTGATTTGCACAACCTGCAATCAAAATGTATTCAGTATGCTAGACCAGCTGTATACATAACTATTTTAGGTGTAATTCAGCTGGTCATTGAACTGGGCGAATGGATTTTATTGATTCCATGTTGAGGCTTCTGCGCGTTTGATATTGAGAAATTGCGCAAACGTTGCCGGTTTTTCTGCTCGTGAACTTCAGTCTCGAATATTAATTCAACCGGTAACGCTGTAGTAAAATTCGTAGCTCCTGAAAATCAAAAAATGGCGGTAAGTTTATAAATTTTGTTATGAAATGTTATTCTAGAATCTATTCCGTAAAAAAAAACAACTTGTATTTTTAAATTCAAAATAGTTATAATAATCTTGAAAGAAATATAACTAAATGGGTATTTATTTATCGAAATGAGTCTTATAAAAACAAGGAAACACTGAAAGCGCCGATTTTACCATAAGTATTCAAAATAGTCTTTAATAATTATTTGATTTATAATGTAGTATTTTATTTCAAAAAAAACTAGTTGGTGTTAAAGTAATACTATCAGCTGATCCCAAAATTTAAAATTTATTTAACTAATTAATACATTTTTAAAAATTTTATATTGACCACACACAAATTAGCATATATAATCAGAATAAATAAATTTTACGTATTTGTACACCTTATTTTTTTCATATATAATGTTTGTAATACTAAGATAATCTTAGTAAGCTTGTTATGCTACCTTTCACACAGTAGCCTGTAAATAGTAACATCTTTTCTTTCGAAAAATCTAAATTTTTAATATTGATTAACAACTTCTAAAAATGTCCGTCCTATGTCACGTTTTTTCCGCACGAAACGTCAAAAAGGAAAAATGATATCAACTTAAAATTTTTAGAAAAAATTAAGGGGATTATGGGGTCTATTCTGTAAAAATTCCTTTATATTTAACGGCCTTTAAAAATATTTTCTTCTTTAATTCGGTCACTATTTAAACGGATCTTTAAAATACATTAGAGGAGTATCTTAAAGAAATCTGTTTAAATAATGATAGAAGTAAATTAACGAATACGAACATATTTTTATAGGCCGCCAATATTTTTAAAGGCCGTTAAATATAAAGGAATTGTTACAGAATAGACCCCAAAGGCAGTCAATTTTTAAAAAAATCTGAAATAAAATGGGGGGTCAGGGGTTGTTGAAATGTTTAAAAAACATCCTAACTTAGAAACAGAAAGTGATCTCAGCTTGAAATTTCCAGAAACGATCAAAGTCTATGAGGGGATGTAGCCTATTGATTCTGAAAAAACTGAATAGAAATTGGTTAAGGGTGGTCTAACCTACAAACAAAAAAAAGATATCAACTTGAAATCTGTGTAAGAAGATGAAGCCTATTGATTCCGAAAAAAAAAATCTTAATAAAACTGAAGGGTTAAGGGGAGGGGTTGAAATTAAAAAAACAAGCTCTATAAGAGGATGAAGCCTATTGATTCTAAAAAGTAATTGATTAAGAGAGGTTGAAATATTAACAAAAAAATCCTAACTGGGAAACAGAAAACGGTATCAACTTGAAATCTTCAGGAAAAAAGCAAGGTAATGAAACCAATACATTCTGAAAAAAATCAACAGAAAATTGGGGGCTAAGAGGGGTCTGTTAAACTGTGAAGGACATAATATAGAATGCCCAAGCATTGTACAGGGTGTTTCAGATTTAAACGGACACAGCTTAATGGGAGGTAGAGTCCACTTAGCTGAGTTCAAAACACCCCTACACTTAGCCTTTAAGCTTACTCGTTTTTGAGATAGAGGGTGTTTTATGACTTTTAGCCAAAACTAAAATCGGCCATTTTGTTTGAATGGCTAAAGTTATTTTGATAAAATTTTGTACAAAAGTTACACTCTCTTAGGTTACTGAAAACCATAATTTAATTTTAAGAAATTCCAAGAACGGGCTCTCTTTTTTTTATATTTCTCTTCGTAGCTAGAATATCACCCTGTATATCGGATTTTAATAAATGTTACTGCACATTTAAATAGTACATGGATCAACAAATCAAATAATGTAATAATATTTAATGGCACCATCTTGATGTTCTTACAATAAATTTTTATAATGGCAACTACATTATTATAAATCAGTATTTACAAAATTAAAATCAAATATTTAACCCTGTACTTTTAAAACTGTACACAAATTAGGTACCATCTTTATTTTTCTTTAACTACAGCATTTTCCATTAGGAAATTGAACATCTACCCAGGACAGGACTCACTTTATTTAATAAAGTAATAGAACAAACTAACATAAACAAATAATTAATTAAAGCTAAAGTAGATTTTCAAAATAAACAACGTGAACGTCAATACACTTCTGCGAATATTTTAATAGATTTTTCACTGATTTGTCAATTATTTTCGGTTTATTTCTAATGTTGTTACATACATTGTTAATTTTTTTCAATAACTGTGCTCGGGTTCATTTCTTCGTTGTACACCTCTGATTTAAGGTATCCCCATAAAAAATATTCCTGATGTGTTAAATCTGGAGATCTTGGTGGCCAATTGACGGGACCGCCTCGACCTATCCATCTATTTGGGAAACGATGATTTAACTGTGCTTGGGTATTAAGTGATTTTTTAAAAATTCCACACCAAATATTTAATGTGTGTTCAAGTCGCTGGATAGGTCGAGGCGGTCCCGCCAGTTGGCCACCAAGATCTCCAGATCTAACACTTCTGGATTATATTTTATGGGGCTACCTTAAATCAGAGGTGTACAACGAAGAAATGAATACCCGAGCACAGTTATTGAAAAAAATTAACAATGTATGTAACAACATTAGAAATAAACCGAAAATAATGGACAAATCAGTGAAAAATCTATTAAAATGTTTAAATTAATTATTTGTTTCTGTTAGTTTGTTCTGTTACTTTATCAAATAAAGTAAGCCCGGTCCAGTGCAGATGTTCAATTTCTTATTGGAAAATACAGTAGTTAAAAATAAATGAAGATGGTACCTAATTTGTGTAGAGTTTTAAAAGTACAGGGTAAAATATTTGATTTTAATTTTGTAAATACTGTGATGTTTGTTTATTTTCAAACAACAGTTTATTTATTAATAATTTATTGAAACACTTATTTATTTTAAACAATACTATTTTAATTTATATATACTTCGAATGTCTTTAAACTGATCACTATTTATATTCACCACTGTCTATCTACTAATTACTATTTATCTTTACTGTCCATATATCAACTGATCTTGATGGCTCTCCTCCACCAATTTATATACAAATTGGTGGTCGAGAATGCTCCCCCACCAAAATTGCCAGTATGTACCAGAAACGTTATCACGTTCTAGAAATAGTATCTCGTTGACCCTGGAATGTTCGCGAAAGTGTCTCCACCATAGTCGTCCCATAGGTTTGGTCTTAAGGGGTTTAATTATGTATAATAATGGGACAAGTTGAGCCTCAAAGGCCAAATAAGACAGAGAGGGACTTGTAGGGTTAGAGCATGACTGAATAATGAAATGGCTCACATAACAATACTGATTTATAATAATGTAGTCGCCATTATAAAAATTTATTGTAAGAACATCAAGATTGTGCCATTAAATATTATTACATTATTTCATTTTTTGATTCATGTACTATTTAAATGTGCAGTAACATTTATTAAAATCCGATATACAGGGTGATATTCTAGCTAAGAAGAGTAATATAAAAAAGAGAGAGCGGTCCTGGAATTTTTTAAAATTAAATTATGGTTTTCATTAACCTAAGGAGTGTAACTTTTGTACAAAATTTTATCAAAATAACTCTAACCGTTCAAACAAAATGGCCGATTTTAGTTTTGGTAAAAAGTCATAAAACATCCTATATCTCAGAAACGAGTAAGATTAAAGGCTAACTATAGCAGTGTTTTGAACTCAGCTAAGTGTACTCTACCTCCCATTAAGCTGTGTCCGTTTAAATCTAAAACACCCTGTATATCTTCATTCAAGTTATTTTTTGTATTTTATTTTTAATACAAGAAAAAATATGTAGGTGTAGGTAGGTTTTTTAGAAGGAAAAGAAATAGAAAGCCTAAAAAGTGCTAGAGAGGAAAATATATTTAATCTTTACCTACAGAAGAATATTTTTTCCCATAATAAAGATAGACAATGTCTTTAAAATTGTTGTACTACAACACTCTTAAATGACAAGATTTTTCGTTTGGAAGGTAAAATTTATAATATTTTATATTATTTTATTATATTACAAATGATACACAATTTGTAATTATTACATTCATTGGAATATTACAGTACTAGCATTCCTGCACTATTAGACTACTAGTATACTCCAAATGCTACATAAAATACGAGACTAATTACCTATGTTGTCGAAGCTGAAGACATCAATAAAAAAAATTCACTATTACCTATTTTTTACTTAATTTAAATTTATTTATTATAATAATTATAAAAATTAAAAAACGAACTTATAGTAATATAAAAGTAATTTTAAAAAACCGACTTCAAAATCGTGCAGATGTCATCACCACATCTTGACTAAATTTATATGGGACTACCCCTGAAGTACCCCCTTACTAACAGAAAAAGAATCATCAAAATATTGTGACGAATTGAGAACTTCCTCCTTTTTAAAGTGGGTTAAAAAAATCCCAAAGAAACGTCTAGCGACTCATTTTTCTTTATCTTTTTTTTTTTAATTCACATTTAGGTATACAGAATTATCGCTAAACATACAAAAAAAAGAAAAATATTACGATGAATTGAAAATTCCCTCCTTTTTGAATTCGATTAAAAATGTATCCGAATTTATAAGGTATGATATATAAATCTATTCTTCATATAACTTTCATATCCCATAGGAGTTTTTTATATTATAAAACACACATCTTTTCGAGTAATAGAGAACAGTGAATATTCGCTATAATAAACAGATGCGATTATTCTTAATTAATATCTCAAATTAATGAAACATTGAATTATCAAGCAGTTAAAAAGTGACTAACAAATCAAGGCTAATAAGTTCCTTCTTACTAGTAATTTTGTTTTCTAATGTTGATTTATTGATTGTTTCGGCCTTTACTTAATGAAAATATATATTATTAAAATGAGAAAAACCAAACATGGTAGATTTTTACAAACGCTTTTTTTTTAATAAAAATAAAAAATAACACGAGAAATGCTTCGAAGTACAACTTTAAATGTGACTAATTTGGGCAAAAGTAAGTTGTCCCATCTACCTGAATTAAGAAGGAGACATTTAGATG